ATTTTTTTTTTTTTTTTTCCTGATCTGTCAAAATGCATTTTTGGGACCGTCTACTCTGAAAATAGATGTGGGAGAGTCTGGCGAGGGAGGCAGGGGGGGCTGCTTGGCTCCTATTTCTACAGGCTGCCCTGGTGCAGCTCTAAAGTTTGGTGGACGATCATGCAGGTTTTATTGCAGCTTGTGTGTGATTTTCTTTTCTTTCTTCTATTTTTTAAGTAGCCCAGCTTCAGTTTTGGGTAGCCCCAGAGGTGGGTTTCTCTCCCCTCCCCACCGCTCCATAAAAAAAATTAGCCAGGCGGCTATTCCGCGGCCATCTGCTCGATGTGGTCGCTGAGCAGCTTGTATTGCTCTGCAGAGGAGAGAGAAAAAGGGGCTGGGAGGGTGCCGAAGCATCTCAGGGGCTCCCCACTGGGACCCCATAAAGAGGGCGCACATCCCCCCTCGGGCTCGCCCCTACCTTCATCCAAATTGCCGATGGTCGCCTGCTTCTTCAGGAAGTCGCTGCAGAGCTTCTTGTTTCGATGTGGTCGCTGAGCAGCTTGTATTGCTCTGCAGAGGAGAGAGAAAAAGGGGCTGGGAGGGTGCCGAAGCATCTCAGGGGCTCCCCACTGGGACCCCATAAAGAGGGCGCACATCCCCCCTCGGGCTCGCCCCTACCTTCATCCAAATTGCCGATGGTCGCCTGCTTCTTCAGGAAGTCGCTGCAGAGCTTCTTGTTCAGGCCGAACGCCAGCATGTTGTGAATGAAGGTGCTGAGGAAGGACAGAGATGTTCTTGGAGACAACAGGGCTAGGCTGCCCTTTTTTCCTCCCTCTCCCCTCCTCTTCCTCCTCGCAGCCCCTTGTTCCGGACACCGGGATGATGCTGGGCTGTGGGATGGGGTGCTGGGACCCTGCCCTGCCTGGGTTTGCAATTCAAGGGGCGGGAGCAGGTCTCAGGGAGAAGCATCCTCTGCACCACAAGGGATGTCCCCAGTGGGGGGAACATCTGCAAGGTGTCTTCCCTCAACAGCTGGCAAGGGCAGTGGTGAGACACTGGCACAGGGTGCCCAGGGAAGCTGCGGATGCCTCATAATCAGCCCAGGCTGGATGAGGCTTTGAGCAACCTGGTCTATGGGAGGTGTCCTTGCCCGTGGCAGGGGCTGTTGGAACAAGATGATCTTTAAGGTCCCTTCCAACCCAAATCATTCTTTGGTTCTGTGTTTCTACGACCGACTGCTGCAGGAGGGACGGTCCCCGCGCCGTGCTCACCCCAGCTGCCCGAAGGTGATGTTCTCGTTGAAGCGGAGGCTGTCGTCACGTTCCTCCTGCGTCATGTGGCACCACTTCTCCCTGCAAGGTACAAACTCGTCTGGCATTGCCGTCACCCTGGGACCTCCTGGTTGCATCACGGGTCCTCCCCACCCTCCCCAGGGACAGGGGGGCACTCAGAGCCCCCTGGCCACCAGTGCCCAGTGCTGGACAAACTCGCACACCTGCGTCCATCCACGGATCTCTCACCCTGGGGCAAAGCAAGAGACATCCCAGGAGAAAAGTCTTCCTCAACCTTGACTTTTTCCTGAAGGTCCTGATTAAGAGCTAGGAAACAGCCTTGGTTTCTCCAGCAGAGCTTGGTGTCTCTCACCTTCAGTGTCATCGCTTCGGCAAGGGGGACGAGCGAGGAGGGGCACCAGGAGGGTATCAGGCACCTCTCCCCCATCTGCAACAGAGCTCCAATTCCCCAAGTCCTGAGCGAGCCGCTCCCCAAGCATACCTCCGCCTCCGACAGCACGGCCATACCCCACACCCTGCCCCACGGCCCCAGAATCACAGCAGTGCCCGCAGGATGCCCCCGCTCCACTCCAGCTCCCCAGCAAACGCGACTGCACCAGTGCCTTAAAGGAAGGGGGAATTTTAAGCTTGAGATGTTTGCCATCAGCTCAAGGTGGTGACAGGAGTCCCCATCTGGGTGTCCCCACTTGGGGACAAAGCCTGTGTCACAGAAATGTTACCGTGGTGGTGCAACGCTGGGGGGAACACCGGTTCATGCACGCTGGGGAAACTACAGCACCAGGGTGAAGCCAGCCCTTTCCCGAGAACTCAGGTGAGGTTACAGCCAAGGATAAGAGGAGGAAAAGCAAGGAAAAACAGGGATAGGTAGAAGAAAAATAGCTTTTATGGAGGAGAAGGAAGAGGAGACCACAGGAGCGGACCGCACGCTCGCAGCTCGCGCTAGCTTGCCGTCGCGCCAAGCAGGATGGGAAGAGCTGTGTCGGGTGGAAACGGCAGCTGGAAGTAGGGGTGTCTCACAGGAAATTCAGTGCAGCCCCTGAGCACATTTGGGCTGCTGAAACCGGAGAAGGAGGAGTGCTCAGTCAGGCTGACTCCACAAAAGGGAGCCAGCTCAGGTGTGTAAAAGCTGCTGAGCTGAGCTTTGGTCACCAGAGGTTGAGCTGCTTATATTTATAGGGCTCTGGAAACTTGTAGGGTGTGTTTAAAGGGATTTAAAAAGGCAGGGGGGAAAGAAGGTGTAATTTCTCCCAGATAAAGCTTACGATATCAAATTAAAACCACATCCAAACCTGGAGGCTGAACAAAAAGAATTATCAAATAAAGGGTCTTTGAAATCTGGAAGCAAAACTTCACACACCTCGCTGGCCCATTTACAGTAAAAGCATGTCTGTGACTATTTTTTTCCTGCCTTTTCTTGTTTTTGATGTAGG